CCCCCCCCCCCCCCCCCCCGGGCTATTCCTCCCTGTATAATTGCCTCGGACGATCTCACTCATCCAGATGCATTTTTGATGAACTAACTGGAATTTTAATTGCTTTCAGCCCCTCCACCTCCCTTCATCACGTTGCCTGCCTATAATCAAAGTACAGCACCAGATAAAGTTGGGATAAACAGATAATATGACTTACCCAGGTACATGTATCCCATTGATGAACTCACTGTCCAACAACTGTTTAGACCCACTACATTAAATCATAGCATCGAAGTACTTCTGTGATTTAATATATACGTTGTACGTGCATTAATTGTGGTACTTCAGTGTACATTGACAAGGGTAATATTCGATGTGTTAGATGTGAAAAGTTAAGTTTTGCTAGAATATAAATCTACGTTATATATCTGCAGATTTTTTTTACGCAAGCTTTTAAATGCCTACTATCGAGATATCTTAAAAACACAGCAAATGAAATATATCAAAGAGCGCATTCAGAATAGATGATCCGCGGACTAAATATGGCGACCCCACTAAGGCGATGGCGCTAATTTCCTGATGGCCTCCCCGCCTCCACACGCATTTTCGCTGCAGAGGCCTTGCAATTAAACCTCGGAGCCGAGATGTAATCCGTTTAATGGGGAGTACGTGTTGAGGCGGGGAGGCCATCGGGGAGTTAGCGGCATCGCTTTTTATGATGGTTGACCATATTTAGATTTAGTCGGCGGATCAGTTAGTGCGCGGATCATCTGTTCTGAACGCGCTCATTAAATTATCAAATACGCTTTTATACTGGAATAGGCCATATATTCTTATATTTATTTACACTAAAGAAGGTAAGATGATAAAACAAGAATTAAACAGGCTCAGCCTAATGGATTGCAGTAAATATAATGCACGATGAAGTGAATTAAGACAAAAGATGAACAGTAAGTGTGCTTTGTCGATATCAATTAAGTAGTACGCATCAATTGATTAAGACCTGCCAATGAGTCACTATCCTATTGAGACCTGTCAGGTCGTATTGAGGTCACAACAAACATGGTGGTTGTGGACGCGGAAGTAATGTTTACAAGATAATTTCCACAGAATTTAAACTTTTAACCATCGAATTCCCGCTCAGATAATCGAGCATGCCAAAGAAAGGGACTAAGCCTTCCACAGAGGCAGCTAGAGCAGACCAAGATTACGCAAATGAGGAGTTTGTCAGCGCGAAATCTCTAGCCGAACAGTTACGGAAATACAGCCTCGAAGATCTACTGACTGAGGATTCGAAAGCTGAGACGAAAGAAAATGGAGACGTTGCTTGGTTTCACGGTAAAATGACTCGAGACACAGCGGAATATATTCTCAAAAAAGGTGGGCAGCCAACAGTTGTACTTATTTTTTATTATATTTTCAACGACAACTTTGACCAAGATTAATAGGGCGTTTTTGTACACAAATGCATTTGCTAGTACTAATTTTTTGTCATATTATTACACATCCGATAAGGTATTTAGATGTGTCATATTTATTACACATCTGAATACCTTATCAAGATTTGCCTAATGTTGTACACAAAGGGAACACTGGAAATAAGCCTATTGGATTTTATGTGACACCTACCTTACCTTTTAAATGTAAGATTTCAATATTCTGAGATAATCAAATTGATTCTTTAGAGTGTTGTTGTAAGGAGGTGAGAAAGAACAACCACCACCGTGGTTAGATTTAGTAAAATTTTAGTGGAATATTTCGGTGTACTACTAGTATATATATAGTACACCGAAAAGATGTTTAAAATATTGCCACATACTAGTACATGATTTCTGTCTTGAACTGAGAAACACTGGAAGGGAACCCAGCCAAGCACCAAAAAATAATGCATAAATTGTGACATTGTTTTAATAAAATATCACCTCCATTATGACTCGGCTTACCTAAAAAAAAAATCCTTGACTCTATCAGATGTCCCCCCCCCACCCCCCTTCCCTTAGTTGGGTACATAACTCACACACTTGTATACAGTGATGGGACAAAGGGGTATAATACTGGTATCTTACACTAGAATAGGGAATGGTTCTAAAGGTTAGCTTCCCATGGTTAGAAATCATATTTTTCTTTCCGAGGTAAGAAATGTGTTTCATAAAACACAAGTGCCATGTTTCCCTGTTGAAGTGTCAGTATCAAGGAGAACAAGCAAATAAAGTATGCAAAATATAGTTGTAGTGGGGCTTAAGGAGTATGAAAATGTTTTTTAAAATGTTTCTTAAAAGAATTCATTTAAGGAAGTAAAAAGTGCACAGCTGAGTAAGATCATTATAAAGAGAAGGCTAAGAAAAAAGGGAATATGTTACTGCAGAAAGCTATGGATGACTCAGAGCACAAAAAGCATTTGTCGCATGCTTCAGTTAAGCTGATATGTTGTTTCCAAGGTAATCAATGTAACCATGACAACTAATGTCTTTTGCATCAGTGAAATTCCCCCTTCGGCTACAGCTCAGGCTTAGTGTGTAGTTTTTTTGAATGTCTAAGATTTGAGAAGTCATAATGTCAGGACTAAGGCAAAAGTTAATGGGAAGATGGTGTAAGAATACTACTTAAGGAATATAAAATACTAGTAAGTAAACTCTTTCATGCTATGGTATTATAGATAACATCCCCCCCCTTTCAAACAAGTGATGAAGAATATCATTTTGTGTGCCTTTTATATATTTGCAGTTTAATTTTTCATTTTAAAATAAAATATAGAGGCATGCACATCCAGTGAATATCATGGATGTTAATTGATTGGGCACATAAAAAAAAATATAACAAAATTGCTATTCTAGGTGGCATGGTAGAGGGGTTGTTCCTAGTCCGTGAGAGTGCCAAATCACCTGGAGACTTTGTGCTATCTCTTGTTCATGGCAGAAAGCCAAGCCATTACCAGATCACGTGCAGTGCTGACACCATGTTTCAGATTGACGAGGGACCACTGATACAGGGTATGGAAAATACGAAGGAACAATCTTTTGTTCCGAAATATAGAGATGAAAGTCTTTTGATTTTTTTGCTGGGAATTTAGGTATTTTGGGTGATATATATATATATATATATATATATATATATATATATATATATATATATATATATATATCCTCCCTTGGACTCCCATATGAAGTTGTGTGTCTTCAGTACTGGTATTCAGACACCATGTTCTAGATTGATGAGGGACCACTGATACAGGGTAATTGTATGAAAAATACAAAATAGTGGTTATTTTTCTAGAATAAGAAATGAAAATCTTGTGGTTTTTTCCGGAATTCTAGATATATGAGTCACTGTGACAGGGTAATTGTATGAAAAATACAAAATAGTGGTTATTTTTCTAGAATAAGAAATGAAAATCTTGTGTTTTTTTCCGGAATTCTAGATATATGAGTCACTGTGTTATATTCATGCCTCCTTGAACCCCCAGCCTCCACCATAAAGAGCTATGTACCTTCAGTACTTGCATAAATTTTCTAAATATTTTTACAGGTCCAATTTCATCTTTTTGTGCAGTTGAAGGCTTAGTGTAGTCAGAAAATTTTATCATATACGTTGCAGATGCTAAAAATGTCAAAATACATAAAAAAGGTATTTTAATTTGAACATTTACAGCACTTTGATAAAAGAAAATAAAGAGGTAATGTTTTTGGGTAGCAGCTGTTATAATATATATATCTTGCAAAGCATAACTCCTATTTCATTGGTTTGTGGACAGGACTTGAGCAGTTGATTAAGTATTACCAGAGTAGTGCCAATGGCCTGCCCACCAAACTGACCACTTTCTGTCATGCCAAGCCACCACCCATGTCCACTAGGAGAGCTGGACGCTCCAATATTTTGCACAGGGCAATAACAGAAGGTCAGTTTGATAATTATAATAATAATTATTTACAGTCTTAAATTTAAAAAAATGTTCAGTGGATTTTACTGGGGTAAATGAACAGCATTAGATGAATGAAATCAATCTATAAATAAATAGCTTAAATATGAAGATAATATATATAGTACAAGGTAAAATTAAGGGCCATTCAAATCGGTTATAAAACTTGCTTTAAAATAAAAATATTTAGTTCTTTCTTAAAATGTAAAAACTTGGTAGAACGCTCTATCAAAATGTCATTATTACTTTGAGAAAATATAAAATTTTCTTTGTTGGATTATTGTTTTGAATGAAGAAAATGAAGAAATGAAGAAAAATAGTTCAATTTTTATAATTCTCGTTCAATCAATTTTTTCATTACTAAAAGTCAAAGTCCTTTTCTCAGATTGCCACCTGCTGTAATAGTGTACAGATAAAATACTTTTTTCTTCTTTTTCAGGAAACAGTGCTGTTGTGAGAAAGATTTTGAGTAATTTCAAATGTCCAGACATTGATTCCAAAAATGAAAAAGGTAAGTAAACAGAGGAAGTTAATATACCATAAGTCCGTATTGATAACTCATGTTTGTGTGCAGAGATTGTTGATTGCAGATTCCCTGCAGAGTTGGGTCAATCCACGTAGATCGATGTTTTTTTAATTAAAGTGGGAATGGGGTTTAAAATTTTAATCATAAACCCTTTAAATTAATAGATTTTCCGTTCATTACTAGGTTCCACAGGACTTCACATAGCCAGTTTTCTAGGTCATGATGACATAGTATTACAGCTACTGACCAAAGGTGCTAATGTCACAGTGCGCGATGCAGATGGCTGTACTGCTCTGCAGGTTTGTTCTTATTTCTAAATGTATTTGCACAATTACGTCATTTTCACATCAATCAGTATGCTGAACTGGACTATTTAGCTTTTAAATTGATAGATCGACAACTTAGTACCTGACTATTATTTGGCTGACTTGTTTCAGCTATAGACCTGCTTAATTTAAACAGATCATTTTATGGAATTAAAACAAAATAGCAGTTGTAGAAGCTTACCTGTGCCAATAGTTTACATGATTTTAAAAAATTCAAAAATGGAAACTTTACATCTTTTAAGTTAATTACCAAGTATAACAGCTGAGTTATTAATAGAGTCTTTTCCACGGTCACGTGACTTCCGCTAAATTATCCGTGGGAACGCGAGATTTTGCGGGATTTGAAGTTTCAGGGGGAAAGTGTGGAGTGTACACGACGGACGCCATATCGAGGAGTGCTCATTTCAATCTGAATTTTCAAAGTTTCGTAACATGTTAACACCTGATTTTTTTCGAAAACATATTCATGGGAGCAGTTGGAATAGAAATTTAGCAGAAGTACCTGATGACTTTTCAATGAAAGAACTAAAAACGTACCTCATCGACAGCAAAGATAGGACATTCGGTACTTTTGTAGTATACCCCCCCACCCTGTAACTTCCTGAAACTTTCATTTTTCAAACATTTTTTTACAGTGTCTTTTGCACCTTTGTCAAAGCTGTTGAAATAAAATGTTTTTGTAATTACCTGTGGTCTTTTTTATTAGTTTTAATCACGTTTAATCCACCCCATTGAAATACAATGTGAAAATTTACAATGTAACCGCAGCTTGCTGCGTTTTCGTTGGCTAACTCTACCTTATTTTATGTGAACATAGGATTGATACATTGTATACTTGGATTTCCTCTGTGAAATTATTATGAGCTACTTGTTCACATAAAATTACCTTAGGGTTAGCCAACGAAAATGCGGCAAGTTATTGACTGCGAGTGTAAATTGAAGATTCTAACTTTGTATTTCAATGGGCTGGATTAAACGTGATTAACACTAATAAAAAGTCCACAGGTAATTACAAAAGCATTTTATTTCAACAGCTTTGACATGGATAAACAATAAAATGTAAAAAACTGTTTGAAAAGTGAAAGTTACAGAAAGTTACAGGGTGAGGGGGGGGTATACTACAAAAGTACCGAAGGCCCCTTCTACTCTTTCCCCCTGAGAAACAGTCCCGCACAAAATGGCGCGAACTGCGCATGCTCACGATTTCGTGGAAAAGACTCTATTGCACTTGATATAAAAATGCAGAAGATGTATTTATTTAAATGTCTGTCATATTGTCTATCTATTTATTCAACTATCAGTCGGCCTGTTTTTCCATATGTCCATCCATCTATTTGAATATCCAGCCTATATTTCAGAGGGCCTGTGCTGGTAACCACCCAAACACCATCATGTTGTTAATTAAGACTGGTGGCGCAGATCCCCAGGACCGCTGCACCACCACAGGGTGGGTACCTCTACACGAGGCGGCCATGCACGGACACGTCGAGTGCATCAGGGTAAAGTTGATGTATAGGAGTTACAGCATATTTGTTGTTATGTTATTTGTAGTATTTGTGATAATAGATGTGGCTGAAGTGGTTGTTCTTGTGTTGTTTTAAGGCTGGGTAGTACTTCATGTGCAGCCATGCATTTGCGTGCACAAGGGAATAAGAAGCACAGTAGTTGCTAAAATTATGTTGTTAAGACTGTAGACTTGTGTAAATCAAGTAAGATTGAAATCAAATGTAAAGAAAAGATAAAAATGAAATTTCTGTGTTTTGAATTCGTTTGGGTTTTTCTCATAGAGATCATAAGGGATTTCTTTGATTTCTTCACAGGTGCTACTGGCAGCTAATGCTCCCTGTCAGCCTCGTAATGACAGTGGAGACACGCCATACCACCTAGCAGTACAGTACGACCGACAGGAGTGCATCAGAATATTTGAAGATTACAAGCCCGCACCCGCCAAAACTCACAAATCTGATTGGCTGCATCGAAACCTAGACAGACAGAGTGCTGTTGGTTTGCTGCAAAGATGTGGGATGTCAGACGGATTGTTTCTTGTGAGACCGAGTCTGAAACATCCAGGAGTGTATGTTCTTACAATGGCGCAAAATGGAACCGCTTACAATTATGAGATAAGAAATGTGGTAAGTAGTTTAGAGTCAAAAGGTTTCCGTATTTTTGGTCAGAGCTTAAAACTTCCAGATAAATTTGAACTAGCTTATACAGTGAGAACTTATAATTTAAAAATTGACTATATCTGTAAAAAAGTAAGAGAGAGAGAGAGAAATTTAAACTTGTTTCTCCAAAATGTTTAATTTCATGCTCAGGTAAGTTACTTCCAACAGCTGTCATGTTACAGTTATAACCCATCTGATACATATTAGACTATCCAGGAGTGAATACTTATATAATCCCATTCTTTATAATTCATAACACCAGGATCAGACTGGTTACTTCATAGATGATGGTCCCTACTTAGAGTCCCTAGACCATGTGATCCAGCATTACGCCACCAGGGCTGACGGTCTTCCTGGCAGACTGATAACAGCTATTAGATCAGGTAGGCAGGCAGCTGAACGTACACATATCAGTCCATGTGCCTGTGCACAAAACGTGCACACACACACACACACACACACACACACACACACACACACACACACACACACACACACACACACACACACACACACACACACACACACACGGTTTTGCCTGCTGTGAAAAGTATGATAGCACAAAGAGTAAATTCTTTTGTACAAATTTCTAATTAACATGATAATTTTTTAAGAGTGATTTTTGACTTGTCAATTGTCAATCAATTGTCAATCACAAATGTTGATGCTGTTTTTGTTGCACCAGTGCAGGTATTTAAAACAGTGTCTGGTAAAAGATGATTTTATTTTTACGTTCATGTTAAATATAATAATGCATAACAACTTTTTTTTCCAGATGAAACATTGAAACCATTAAACATTCCTCTATACAGTGCCAAAACATTAGGTGAGTTTTTGACAGGAATTACTTTTGTCTTTTATATAAAAATCGTCATTGTAAAGATATATGAATATAGATAAAAGTTCAGAATATTTTATTTAGTCTGTTGACTTATTAATTGTTGCAAGGAGTTAGAAAAGCAAATTATGTATTGCCATGTAGGCCAGTAGTAATAACCATGCTGAAACTTTCAAATTGTCAAGAATCAGTCAGGTTATCAAAAATTTAAGTATTTATTTCTCTTTGTGATTGCCAGTACTGTGATTTTATCAAAATTCAATGACATACAACATTTTGGTTTGAACAGAAAGATATATTCTAGTAACAGGTATAATACCTTCATTTTGATCTTGGTTTATATTAAAATTGTTCAAAAACTACAACAATGTTATGTATTTTCATTGATAATATGTTGTAAAACCAGCTTCACCTTTGGCATTTTCAGATGACTTCTCGCGCCCCTCCCTTCCTCCGCGTCCCTCTGATCTTGCAGGACAAGATCAGTTTCCAGGTACTGGGAATGGTGATGTCCCACCACCAGCGCCCCCTATTGAGACAATTCCAAAACTTGGCTTGCAGAAAATGTTGTCGAAGTCCCAAGAACTGTTGTCCTCGTCTCCTCCACCTCCACCACCAGCCATCAGTAAGATACCCAAGAGAGGAATAATGGTGAGCTTATACTAGGGAAGTCCTTAGACAAAAAATAAAAATTTTCCCCCTCCATTTCTTTTAAATTTCATTGCCTAAAATCTCTTGGTTTTACAAGCCTAGGTTGGATTTTATTTAGCAATAAGTATAATTTCATGAGTTTTCTAGGGAGAGATAACAGCATGTAATTATTTTATTGATTAGTTTATATGGACTGTTGTTAGAAAAAATGACAAGAGGCAAATGAGAACAAAGACCTTCACCAACAGTATGCATGATCAGTCAATTGATAAAGAAGAATAAACATAAAGTGATAACAACTCTTCATTTTTGCAGAAAAGTGCCATTAAACTGGATTTTCCTGGGATAAACTACAATGTTCCTATACTTTCAATAACATGAATAGTTTTTCATATATAACCCTGATAACACATGTGGTTGTTTTATGTTTAAGGTGAATAGAACAAAATCTGTGGATGACACTGATGATTTGGGTCGTCCTGGCACACCCCCTGTGCTGCCACCTGGTGACATGTTA